TTGTGTGTTCTTTTTCATTGGTTTCGAGAAATTTAAAAAAATTTTTTTCTTCATTGATTTTAGAGACAGAAGAAGGTAGAGGGAAGGAGAGAGAGATAGAAACATCGATGATGAGAGAACATTGATTTGGCCACTTCCTCCATGTTCCACACTGAGGATTTGTCCTACAACTTTGATGGGTACCCTGACCAGGAATCAAACCAGTGACCTCTTGGTGCATGGGTCGAACTCAACAACTGATCCACACCGGCTGGGCAAATTTTTAAATTTCTTCCTTGATCTGCTTGGTAATCCATTCACTCTTTAATAACATGCTATTTAGCCTCCATGTGTTTGAATGTTTTTGCATGTTTTTGTTGTAATTGAGTTCTTGTTTCATGCCATTGTGATCTGAGAAGATGCTTGATATGATTTCAATCTTCTTGACCTTATAGAGACTTAGTTTTGTCCTAACATGTGGTCTATCTTTGAGAATGTCCATGTACATTTGAGAAAAATGTGAATTCTGAAGTTTTGGGGTATAATTCTCTGTAGATATCTATTAAATCCATTTGATCTAGTGCATCATTTAGAGTTTCTGTTTCTTGCTTATTTTTTGTCTAGGGAATCTATCCAGTGATGTCAGCTGGGTATTGAAGTTTCCTGCTATGATTGTATTGCTGTCAATTTCTCCTTTGAAGTCCTCCAGAAGATTTTTAATATATTTCAGTGCTCCTTTATTGGGTGCATATATGTTTACCATGCTTACATCTTCCTGTTGGATAGATCCTGTCAATATTATGTAGTGGCCTTCTTTGTCTCTAGTTATGGCCTTTATTTTGAAGTCTATTTTATCAGTTATGAGTATTGCTACCCCAGCTTTTTTTCCCTTTCCATTTGCTTGGAAGACTTTTTTCCATCCCTTTACTTTCAACCTATGTGAGTCTTTTGTTGTGAGGCGGGTCTCTTATAAAAACATATATATGAATCATGCTTTATCAAATCAGCTACTCTGTGTCTTTTGATCGGAATGTTTAATCCATTTACATGTAAGGTTATTATTGATATGTGCTTATTCATTCCCATTTTTTGTGCATTGTGGTTATATATATATTTTTCCTATTTCTTCTAATAATTCCACCAGTCCTTTTAACATTTCTTGCAGTGCTGGTTTGGTGCTAATATATTCCCTTAACCTTTTTTTGTTTTGTTTTGTTTTGTTTTGTTTTGTTTTGTTTTGTTTTGTTTTGTTTTTGTCTGGGAAGCTCTTCATTTCACCTTCTATTTTGAATGATAGCCTTGCTGGATAGAGTAGTCTTGGATTCAGATCCTTGAAACACTGACAATTTTTAAATGGTATGATGCATTTGGTTTGTCAAATGGTCTGTGCTTTTTTATTTAGGGCAAGATTCAGATTTGATCAAATTACTTTAAGGTTTTTCTTTATGTTGTGTTATAGGCTGGTTTGCATGTTGAAGTGCTAATGTCCAGAACTTCAATATGTGACCTTATTTGGAGATAATGTCTTTAAAGAGATAATAATGGTCAAACAAAGTCATTAACATGGGACCAAGTCCAATATGACTAGTGTCCTTATAAGAAGAGGAGACTTGGACACAGACATGTACAGAGAGGGAAAACCATATGGAGACACAGGGAGAAGAGAGCCATCTACAAGTTAAGGAGAGAGACCTGGAACAAATTCTTTTCTCATGGGAGTTGTCTCCAGGGAGCCAATTCTGCCAACACTTTGATTTCCAACTTCTAGGTTCCAGAACTGTGAAACAATAAATGTCTGTGTTTAAGCCTCCCAGTTTGTGGCACTTTCTTATGGCATCCTGATCTGACTCATATATGTGGTTAAGAGACACCTGTTTCCAAAGAAATTCAGAGTTGGTATCCTTAGGAACCAAAGAACTACATGTTCAAAATAAACAAGTTTTGGGCTTCCAATGACTGGTGGGTGAGATAAGCTGGCCCATGGATGGGACGAGCTGGCCCTTGGGGGTGATGCCAGGGCCTGGTGACAGTCTTCTCCCTTCAGTGCACCATGTTGCTGTGGAGACCTGCCTGGTGCCCTTAGCATCAGTGAAGATTCTGTTCCTGGAGGGTGTGTGTATAGGGGGATGGTTAGGTAAAGTGCCAGTGAAGGGCAGGTGTGACAGGGTAGCAACAGGGTGGCAGGCTTTTTAAGGCACACATGCCTTGCATTTGCAGGGCATTCAGGGAGGCGTGAAAGGGACATCGTCAGGTGCAGACACCAGGCTTTTGAACATCACTGTGCCAGAAACCATGCCACGTGCACTGTTTCTCTCACAACAACTGCCCCAGACTCTCTTCGAATGAGAGCAGGTGGAATATATATAACAACCAATCCAGGGACCAGGAGCTTGGAAGCTCACCATTAATAAACCCGAGAAAATATGGTTTTCAATTTGAAATTGTGAATTGTGAATAAAATCATGTGGTTGTTAAATTGGGGGCTAGTCTAAAAAATACTTTTTAAATTTTATTTTCATAGTAGTACAGTAAAAAATATATTTAACATCCAATTCTGGGATCAGAAATGTAGAAAGCACACAGCAGGCAGCAGCCCTGGGCTTTTAATTTAATTGAATTCTGTCCATTGAAATTGATAGAGCTGGTCTGGCTGGTGTGGCTCAGTGGTTGAGCATTGACCCATGCACTGAGAAGTCACTGGTTCAATTCCCTGTCAGGGCATGATCCCCAGTGTGGGGCATGCAGGAGGTGGCAAATCAATCGATGTTTCTATCTCTTTCACCCTCTCCCTTCCTCTCTAAAAAAATTAATTTAAAAAAGCCTACATTTAAAAATAAGAAAAGAAATAGGTAGAGCTAGAATCGTGAACTCAGCAGTAAAGGTTATTGAGTTTTCTCTTTACCTCAACTTGTCTGGGCAGTCCCATGTCCCTTGTGCTGTGTGGTCTTGGAGGAGTGGCCTCAGTTGTCTCATCTGCGTGAGGTACACAATGACCATTTGCTATTGCATGAGGCAGAGTTGTGATAAATTTCCTTCCTTTCTCAATCCTGTTTCTTGATCCCTGTACCACCCACTCTCCATTCTCCCTCCACCTCCTTGGTAACCCCTCCCAGCAGCCTCTGTTTGCTCAACCTCCTAGTTGAGACGTTGGAATGCCTGGGGCTCCATCCTCACCCTCTGCACAAGTGAGCTCATTCATCCCAAGACTTTAAATCCCACACACTCCCTGTTGCTGCTTCAGCTTTATCTCTTGCACTGGCCTCTTCCTTCAATTCCAGACTCATGAATCCAACCATAAGCTTGACATATCCCTTTAAATCTCAAATAAGATTCTCAACTTTCCTGTGTCCAAAATCAAACTCTTATTTTCTGCTCTCCATGGTTCTGCTCTGTCCAGGTCCTTGTCCTCACATTTTCAGGGATGCTGACCCTTCTCTCGGTTGTCCGAACTATGGTGCTTTCTTCCCCCTCACCTCATAGCTAGTTCTCCCCATGCCTGGAGCCCACCTGCTTCTCTCCCTTTTACCTACAACATGTTCTCAACCCCTCTTGCACCATTGTGAAGTCTTCTGCTCCTGCTTGCTGATGGTCCTTCTTCACTCAGGAGCCACAGGGATGCTCTGATCCTGTGAGTTGGGAACCCAATCTGTGATGTCAAATGTGGCCCCGTCTGACCAGTCCTGAGTGGGGAAAAGCTATAAAGTGGAGTGCAAGCTCAGCTGCTGGCCCATTCACCTCAAATGCCAAGTTTGTACAGTTAAAGGCCCCATCCTTCCAGCTTTTAAAAATGAGTACACATGCTTGAGCCAGGCCTCTGCCAAAGAAAGGTGCTTGGACAGCTCTAGAAACAGATACTATATGTGTTGGGGGAAGAGAGAAGGATGACATGGTTTTCATTTGCTCCCACTGCCAGCTTTGACCAAATTCCTGTGGCCACCCTAATCCACCCTGTTTAATAGAGCCCAAGCCAGCTCAGGCTTCCCAGGATGAGTCTGCTAATCCCTGGGGCTGAGAGCTCACCACCTGTTTCCAGGATACCCTTTGCTCTCTCGGCCTCAGGGAGCCAAATCTGGGGCCTCAGACAGGGATAATGGTGATCTTTTGACCAAGCCCCCTCACCTTTGGCCCTCAACAATGAGATGGGGAAACTTAGGTACAGAGAGTCTCACATGGTGTGAGTCACTGCTCCCAGAGCCCAGGAAGGCTTTATAATAATGACTAGAAAAAACGATTCCTTGGGGCTCCCTCATCAGCTGCAGGAGGTGGGGGCAAGTTGGCCGGTCCCCCCCTTTATCAGAGGCATGTGGGTTTGTAGTTTCACACTAACCTGGGTGCAAATACTGCTGCTGACACATGCCAATAGTGTGAACCTGGACAGGTCACTTAATTTTTTCTGGTCTCTATTTCCCCCTCTGCAAAATGCGGCTGGTGGTAAAAGTCTCTTCTTTGCAAGGTTGTTGTGGATGTGTTAAACAGAGTCCTTGCTAATATTAAAGGTTGGCTGGCTCATGGTTCCTTCCTGCCCAGCCCCGTTCTCTCTCCTTCTGTGCAGGCCCACTCAGCTCACTCAGCCTGTGCTCCTTTCTCCTCTACTCATGGATTTACTGCAGGGTTTTGCAAGGAAAAAGTTGGGGAGTACCTTAGGCAGCTGGAATCAAGAGACTGGTGACCAGGAAAGAAAGGGAGAGAAAGACAGAAAAAAGATAAGAGACGGAGAGACAAAGAAAAATGGACAGAGAGACAGAAAGAGAAGAGAGAAGGGGAGAGAGGTAAAAGTAGAGACAGAAATAGAGAAACAAAGATACCAAGAGACAGAGAAGGACAGACTCTGTGTGTGTGTGTGTGTGTGTGTGTGTGTGTGTGTGTGTGTGTGTGTCGTGCGCGCGCGCAAGAGACAGCCCATAGAAAGACAGTCAAAGAGAGTCAGGTCAGACACACATCAAAAGACAGGAAAGAAACAGACCCACGGAGTAAGAGAGACAGGGAAAGGAGTTGTGGAGAGACTCAATACTTCACACACCTCTGCTCAGGAGGGCCCCTCATCCCTTCCCCACAATCCTTAAATCCCCTCTCACTCGGCACCCTCAGCATCTGTCACAGCTGCTTCCTGACCCAACAGCGGCTGGCGCTGGGTGAGTGTGGCTACAGAAGCGAGCTTGGGTGTGCGCTGGGGATGGACTCCAGGAAGAGCGGCCCGGGGCTGTCGGGAAGGGGAAGGCTGGTGCGCTGGAGACAGAGGTCAGGCAGGGGAACGGTGTGATGAGGTTCAGAGGGTGTTGAGAGCGAGAAGGAGGCTTGGGACAGTGGCAAGTTGATATCCCACCCCTTCTCTGATCGGCTCAGCCAACATTTACCGCGTGTCCCTCTCCCTAGCCCCTAGGCGCCCGTTTCCCCGGTTCTCTCCAGCCAGGCACGCAGAGCGTTCCGGTTCTCCCCATACTATCTCCTCCCGCAGCCGGTGAGCCTATGGCCCGGCCCCGGAGCATCCTGGAACCACCGCTGCTGCCGCCGATACTGGTGCTGATGCTGGCACAGGCGGGCCTGGCGCACGCGGCGGGGTCGGTGCGCCTGGCGGGCGGCCTAACGCTGGGCGGCCTGTTCCCGGTTCACGCGCGGGGTGTGGCGGGCAGGGCGTGCGGGCAGCTGAAGAAGGAACAGGGAGTGCATCGACTGGAGGCCATGCTGTATGCTCTGGACCGCGTCAACGCGGACCCGGAGCTGCTGCCCGGCGTGCGCCTGGGAGCGCGGCTTCTCGACACTTGCTCGCGGGACACGTACGCGCTGGAGCAGGCGCTGAGCTTCGTGCAGGCGCTAATCCGCGGTCACAGCGACAGCGATGAGGCAGCGGTGCGCTGCCCCGGCGGCCTTCCGCCGCTGCGAGCCGCGCCCCCGGAGCGCGTGGTGGCTGTCGTGGGAGCCTCGGCCAGCTCCGTCTCCATCATGGTCGCCAACGTGCTGCGTCTGTTTGCGGTGAGGTCCGCTGGCCGCGATCGGTATCCTGCCCCTCCCTCCGGTCCTCGTCCTTGGGGTGTCTGAGGTCTAGTTTTCTTGCAGAAATCACCCCAATTCACAAACAGAAACAGTTGCTTCAAAGAAACCCTGTGGGTCAAGCCAGACGCCTGCCTGAGTTAGGTCCACCCGAACACTGCTGCAGCCTCCCTTTTCTGTTCTGGCGCCCTCCCGCGCCTGCCATCCGCACACAGCCTAGAGTGTAAGGAAAACGACCTTCTCAGCTGACTTCAGGGCACCCTGGACTTTAGAAGCCATTTAGCTGATTGTTCCTGTGTCCTACTTTGAGGCACACCCTGAACAACTGGGCATGGAGGTCCTGACCCTGGACCTGTGAAGAGCTATGGGTGACAAGGAGCAAATTTTCCTTAAAACCAGGGCCCTCCTTCAGGTGGGCAACAAGTACCTGGCTGCTCTAGGGGTGGGTAGGTCTGTAAGGACCTGTACCTCACTCCTCTTTTTTTTCCTTTATTGATTTTAGAGAGAAGTGAGAGGGAGAGATAGAAACATCGATGAGGGAGAACATCGCTTGCCCCCCCCCCCCTGCATGTCCCCCACTGGGGATCTGGCCCACAACGGGGGCATGTGTCCTGACTGGGAATTGAACCAGCGACCTCTTGATGCATGGGTCGATGCTCAACCAGTGAGCCACACCAGCCGACCCTCACTCCTCTTTTTGATCATCATTTAAATTCAGTTTCAGAATGCCTGTCTCTAAAGGTCTCTTAAGGGGCCTGTGAAAGGCAACAATGGAGTCTCTTTTCTAGAGTGCTCATCTGCAGTGCCCTGTCCTATAGGAGAAGCTTGGACTGGCCTTGCCATGCCCTCACCTCTTGCTGTTTTCTGTGGAAGGCAGCACCTTACTTGCAATCTGATGGGTAGTGATTTGGGGAGCCACAGGAATCAGGGATTAGGGGGCCTTTGGCATTAGAGTTCGGGGTTTTCTGTGCATTCACTGGAGAGTGAGGCTTCTGAAACAGTTTTTAGTGGGATTTCATGAGGGGGTTATCTCTGACCTTTTATCTTTCTGAGAATAGAGGAAGGCTTTGCTTTCATCTGGCTAGGCAAGGGACCTCTGCTTCTTGAGTTTCTCTGATGCACCCAAGAGTGGCATCTGTTTCTACCCCCATAGCACTAGGTAGAGGTTTTCCCTGCCCCCCACTCCATCATCTGCACCCACTTAATCTTTCCCACCCCAGTTTCTGCTGGATGGTAATGTTGGTGTAGAGCATACAGACATACAGACGCACTTTCTAGTTGGCACTGAGAGGTTATGTGGCTGCCCAGTGTGTGTGTGTGTGTGTGTGTGTGTGTGTGTATTTGAGGGGTGTCTTTGTCTCCCCGGCTCATGTCTGTTCACATCTGTGGGCTCTACCTCTTTTCCTGCCTGGAGCTCTGGTTTCTGTCTTTCTCTCTCTAGGTCGGTGCAGCATCTCTAACTCAAGGGCCTTCAGGGTTCGGGTGAGGACTGTAGCTGAGTAAGCAGGACCCTGTGAGCCCAGGGCCTAATGGTACCAGTTCAGCTCAGGACTGAGGTGGTGCTACATCCCCAGATTTTAGATATTGGCTATGAATTTAAACATTAAAAAAAATAAACACAGTGCACAAAGCACAACCATGGGCCTGATTTGGCTCCCTGCAACCTGTTTTCCAGTTTCTAGCCCAGAAGTGAAGATGAGAGTTTCTGAGTTCATTTCTCAACTATATCCTGTGCTCTCAGGCATTTTAAATGAATTTTCCCTAAGGAGGGTCAACCTGGAAGGCTTTTCTGTAGCTTGAACTAAAGTGTGCAGAGTAACTACAGCACTACAGCCAGCAGGCCTTTCTCTGCCTCCTTTTCTCTGATTACCCTTTTCTTTGTCTTTCTTGTTTTTCCCTTTCTACCTCCTTCCTATCTTTCTTCCCTTTTCTTCCTGCACTACCTTCCTCTTAAAATAGATTTTCACACTCCACATTTTCTTTCTGCCCTGCTTCAAACAACTCTGCCCCACCTAGACCAGCTCAGCTCCCTCCTTCTAGAACCCTCCCCTTCTCTGACCTTCTCACTAGCTCCCACTTGATGACTATGTCTTTTTTTTTATAACGTGGTTCTAATTTGTCCCTCTGTCAGCTAGCCTCCCTCTTCTTGGCTTCCTCAGCCTTCTGCTACTGTTGTCCCCTCTTTCTTCACATGTGCTGCTCCACTTCTCTTGGATCAACTCAGCTTATTTATCTTTGCCAATAATCACTCTAATGCACACAGATAAACCCATTTCCAAGCAGACCCCTTCCTTAGGCCAAACACAGCCTTGAATCAAATGCCACTCCTCAGCTCCCTCTGACCTGTGTTCTGACTTCTCCTGAGGCTGCTCCCGCCCACACAGGCTGCCCCTTTGTGTGAAATAGGAAAACTTGTCTCCTAGGAGCTGACAAGGATATTTCTTTCCAGGGCAGACACAGCCTGTGCCTAGAGGCTAGATTGGCTGCAGGCTGGATTTGAGCTCCCAGCACTCTTTTGCTCAGACATACTCTCCATAACTAGATGGGGTGACCCTGCCCTCTCCCTTAGATCTACCTCCCCTATTTCATCTGACCTATTCATAAGATGTCTTTCCCCACACCTTTGGGCCACACCTGCTGGTTCTCAGCTCCCAACGCCAAAACTTCAGTGCTCCTACCTGCGTCCTGGGTCCCCATTGCCCTCCCTACATGGGGTCACTGATCCACTATCTACAACTCAGGTGTCCTTTCCCCCTCCAGATCCCCCAGATCAGCTATGCCTCCACGGCCCCTGAGCTCAGCGACTCCACACGCTATGACTTCTTCTCCCGTGTGGTACCTCCTGATTCCTACCAGGCCCAGGCCATGGTGGACATCGTGCGGGCATTGGGATGGAACTATGTGTCCACGCTGGCCTCCGAGGGCAACTATGGCGAAAGCGGGATTGAGGCTTTTGTGCAGATCTCCCGAGAGGCTGGTGAGCTGGGGCAGGAGGGTCAGAGGCACCAAGGAGCCTACAGAGGGATGAGCCAGGGGCCATGAGACAGAGATACCGGATCCATGGTGTAAAGCCTGGATGGTGTCTTCTATCAGCGGGTGTCCCTTTCCTTTGGAGGACTCAGTCTTGACTTGTGGCCTAGCAGGCAGGACCCAGTTTAGGCTACTCCAGTAGAGCCCCAGACAAGGCCTCTGAGTGATCACACTACAAAGTCATGCACAGTGGTAGCCCTGATGGGTGGTGGGATGGACAAAAGCTGACTTTGGCATCCTGGACACCCAGGAGGAGTCTGTATTGCCCAGTCCATCAAGATTCCCAGGGAACCAAAGCCAGGAGAATTCAACAAGGTGATCAGACGACTCATGGAGACACCCAATGCTCGTGTCATCATCATCTTTGCCAACGAGGATGATATCAGGTGGGATGGATGGTGCCTCAGTCACTGTTCTTCAGAAGCTCTCCCTGAAGGCCCTGCTTTATCTTCTCACACATTCCCCACATGCACATCCTCCCTTCCTCCCTTTCCCTCTTTCTTGCTTCCCCTCACCCAGCACACTTTTCCTGCTGCCATCTCTGCCTGGTGTCCTCATAAATGAAGCAGGCCTGTTCTAGGTAAAGATGCTCTAAGTATAGCCAGGGAAACACACAAGCATACATGTCTGTTTTTATAATTCACAGTGGGTGAGACCTGTGGGCAGATCTAAGTGCAAAATATGAGCATCAGGGAAGGAGCCCTGGGGGCAGAGCTAGCAGGAGGCTCTGCAAGAGAAGGGAGGCCCTACTGCCAGGCAGTGTGAAGTGGGTTACAGTGCATAGAAAAGGAGGGCAAACCTGGGCCAGGGTCTGGATAGACATACCCTGAGAAGCCCAAGGTAAGTGTCCTAAACACTCTACACTCAATTTTTTTCTGATAAATAAGGGTCTGATGAGTGATGTGGAATGGGATCTAAGGAGAGAAAAGAATGAGAATTGACCAGGGGGAAGTTGGAGGAAGATCTCAGGCTTTTAGTCACCCCCAGCCCTGTTTGTACCAGGAGGGTCCTAGAGGCTGCACGCCAGGCAAACCTGACTGGCCACTTCCTGTGGGTTGGCTCAGACAGCTGGGGAGCCAAGACCTCACCCATCCTGAACCTGGAGGACGTGGCAGTGGGGGCTATCACCATCCTGCCCAAAAGAGCTTCCATTGATGGTGAGTGTAAGGATGCCCTCCTCTTCTTTGTCCCTGACCCCAACTCCATCCTTCCCCACCATCCCTCTTGGGGCACTCATTTCTCCCGTTGGTTAAATTATACTGTGATCCAAGTCCCTTCTAAGATTCCCAGGTTCTATGATTCTGAGACTCTGTCAGTACATCCCTCCAAGCAGTGTTTGAATAAGCTGGCAAAAAAAGGAAAGCACACTCACCGTACCGGGTAAACAATTGTTAGTGTGTGTTTTTCGTTGTTTTATTTTTTAATTCATCACCTGTACTCCTCATTCTGTCAAAGGTACTATGATTTCAGGGTGAGAGTGAGAGGGAGAGAAACCAAGGATGTGGGACATATTGTCCTATTGCTCAAAGTAATGAGGCCTCCCTACCTTTTCCCCCTCTCACCATCCTACCTGTGAATATCTGGAAGAATCTAGCAGGGATGTTCACTTTCCAACCATTTTGCTCATTTCTCCAAAGGCCAAACTGAAGACAACTTGATGTGGGACTTCAAGGCTATTTAAAGCATAGCCCTCATAATGCTGAACCCTGACACCCACACTGATACCTGTTGTAGATGTATACCCACCTTCATATCTCCCCCCCCCATTAGAATGCATTCAGTTGCAAGTAACAAATTAGACTGAGAATAGTTTTAGCAATAAAAGCATTTAATCACAAGACTTCAAATTTCTCAAAGCCCTGAGCTCTGTCCACCCTTCTTTTTCACTATCCTCTGTGGTTGCCATGTGTCTTAATTCTGTGGCATCATATTTACAAAGTAGCTGCTGAAGTTCCATCCATTACATGTTCACAGCAGCATCCTAACCAGGTAAGAATGTGCAGCATTCTACCTTGGAGCCCTAAATGTCTTTGAACTCACAGGCCAGAAGTTGGTCACATGGTCATTTCTAGCTGCAAAGTGAGCAAGTGGTGAAGGGACACAGAAGAACTGTGGCTGGCTCAGATGGTTGACATCCTCCTCTTCCTCCCCCTCAGGATTTGACCAGTACTTTATGACACGCTCCCTGGAGAACAATCGCCGGAACATCTGGTTTGCAGAGTTCTGGGAAGAGAATTTTAACTGCAAACTGACCAGCTCAGGTACCCAGTCAGACAACTCCATCCGCAAATGCACAGGTGAGAGCTGCAAAGGGTGGTAAGAGAGGCAATGGAGATGGTGGGGGACCAGGTTAGACATATGGGGGCCAGGCACACTTCCTCTGGCATTCCTAGGACAGGTGAGGAACGCATTGGCCGGGACTCTACCTACGAACAGGAGGGAAAGGTGCAGTTTGTGATTGACGCAGTGTACGCCATTGCCCACGCCCTGCACAGCATGCACCAGGCACTCTGTCGTGGGTATACAGGCCTGTGCCCAGCGATGGAGCCCACTGACGGGCGGACACTGCTGCAGTATATTCGGGCAGTCCACTTCAATGGTGAGTAGGTACCAGAACCCCTAGCGGGAGTGAGGGGAAGTCCCCTGAGATCAATTTCTCTGAGGGATCTGGGACAGTCAGGAGCCAAGGCATGGGAGAGGCAGCACGGTATAAGGAATACCTGGGCCTGAGAGCTGGGGACTTGAGCCAAGTTTTGGGGACCACTTTTTTTTTTTTTTCTAAACAAAGTATAAGAAACAGCATTATTCAAATAATTATATTTTTTTACCCTAGTCCAAGACAGGTAACAAATCTTATTTCCAAATGGATCATCTTAGCCACAGAGAACCACAGAACACACCTCGTGTTGGGGACCACTTTTTAACAATCCTCCATTCCCAGACTTTAGCACCCCCTGCCCCAATTTGAAAAATTCGGGTGTTGGGGAATTTCTCTGACTCCTTCTGCCCTAAACCCTTAGCAGGTCACACACAACTATTACCTCCACTGCACAGAGCTTGGAGGTATCTGATCTCTCGAGGCACAGTGCAGACAGTGAAGAGGCACTGCCTATAATGTGAACATGCTGCCCACTGTGAGTCTCAAGCTTCCAAATGCCAGCCCAGCTAGGTCCTGCACTGGCCTGAGCACAAGGCATAAGTCTGATGTGTTCCCTGGTACCAGCAGAGGACCTGGCACATAGTCAGGGCTTCTGAAAAGGCCCAAATGGACTTGCTGTGCTCATGCTTTGTGGGGGGAGATACACTTTTTGTACAATTACTATCCTTTAGAAAATTAAAACTCTATTTGTCCAGCAAACATTGAGTGCCTTCTCTCTGCCAGGGTCTCTGCTAAATAGCACAACTGAATTTCACTCCAGACCAGCATTACAAGCTGATACAACAAGCTTCCAAAAGAAATAAAGCTGATTGTTCAAATTAGTACAAATTTCATGTCAAGACTCAGACTTTTGTGCAAGTCTGAACTCATCCCTTCACCTGGAAAGTTAAGCTTTCTATTGTCATATGGCATATTTACCATCTTAACTACTTTCAAGTGTACAGTTTAGTTGTGTACATTGCTGTGCAACCAATCTCCAGAACTCTTTTCATCTTGCAAAACTGAAACTCTCATCCCATTAAACAACTTCCAATTTCCCCTCCCAAACCCCTGGCAATTACCATTCTACTTTCTGTCTCTGAATTTGACTGCTTTAAATACCTCATAAGGGTGGTATCATGCAGTATTTGTCTTTTTGTGACTGTCATATTTCACTGAGCACAATGTCCTCAAAGTTCATTCATGTTGTACATGTGTCTGAATTTTCTTCCTTTTTAAAGGCTGAGTAATATTCCATTGTATGGATAGACCACATTTTGTTTATCCACTCAACCCCCAATGAACACTTCCACCTTTGGGTTGTGAATAATGCTGCAATGAACATGAATGTACAAGTATCTCTTCGAGTTCTTGTATTCAGTTCCTTTGGGAAATGGAATTGCTGGGTCATGTGTTAATTCTATGTTTAGTGTGTTGAAACCCACCATACTGTTTTCCACAGTGACTGCACAGTTTTACATTTCTACCAGCAGCACATAAGTGTTCCAATTTCTCTGTCTTGTGGCTGTTCCTTGATATATTTTGCTGTTTAGACTCCTCTTGGGCAGGAGGTGGTATCTCATTGTGGTTTTGATTGCCATTTCCTTGATGATGTTGAGCATCTTACATGTGCTTGTTGAGCTCCTCCTTTATCCTGGCCGGGCCTTTGGCCTCTCTAGGAGGCTGGCTTTAATGGGTTGGAGAAACAGCTGAGGATGCCAGGCTCTCTCTCCAGGCAGCGCAGGAACCCCGGTAACGTTCAACGAGAATGGGGATGCGCCCGGGAGATATGACATCTTCCAGTACCAGGCGCCCAACGGCAGTGCGGGCAGCGGTGGCTACCAGGCTGTGGGCCAGTGGGCAGAGACGCTCAGGCTGGATGTGAGTGGCACGTGAGCTTGGGGTGTGGGAGGCGGGCCCGCCAGTCCTGGCAGTGGAGGTTACAGGCTCTGTGTCCCATGTCACAGGTGGACGTCCTGCGGTGGTCAGGAGACCCCCGGGAAGTGCCGCCGTCTCAGTGCAGCCTCCCCTGTAGGCCAGGTGAGCGGAAGAAGATGGTGAAGGGCGTGCCCTGCTGTTGGCACTGCGAGGCCTGTGATGGGTACCATTTCCAGGTGGATGAGTTCACATGCGAGACCTGCCCAGGGGACATGCGACCCATGCGCAACCACACCGGCTGCCGTCCCACGCCCGTGGTGCGCCTCACCTGGGCCTCGCCCTGGGCCGCCCCACCGCTCTTCCTGGCGGTGCTGGGCATCACGGCCACCACTACAGTGGTGGCTACCTTCGTAAGGCACAACAACACACCCATCGTCCGCGCCTCTGGCCGTGAGCTCAGCTACGTGCTGCTCACTGGCATCTTCCTCATCTATGCCATCACCTTCCTCATGGTGGCTGAGCCTGGGGCAGCCGTCTGCGCTGCCCGGAGGCTCTTCCTCGGCCTGGGCACCACCCTCAGCTATTCTGCCCTGTTCACCAAGACCAACCGCATCTACCGCATCTTTGAACAGGGGAAGCGCTCTGTCACGCCCCCGCCCTTCATCAGCCCCACCTCGCAGCTGGTCATCACCTTCAGCCTCACCTCCGTGCAGGTGGGTCCCCAGGCTCCCGAGGTGCTGGGCAGGGGAGGGGGAGCACTGACCTCTACTCACAGAGTCATTCTTCTATTTTGGAAAAAATATATAGCCTCAAGAGATAGAGCCCTACCATTCTCCTGTAAGGAGAACTTGGTTAAGAGCAGCATATTTCCACTTCGTCCTGGAAGGAAAATGGGTCAGTAGGGAGGTAGCACCAGCAATGAAATTAGTTTCATACACTGAACATGCTCTTCCACAATTTGGCTCCCATATAAAATAAAGCAAAGACATATCTGATGAATTTTCCTCAAGCAAAGAATCTGTTTCCATAAAGGGAGTTACTGCTGCCCAGTGCCTTGTGAGAGGCTCAAGCCCCAGTGATGTAATTAACCATGGAGTGGAGCATCCTGTTCCATAAATGGCCAGATTTCATGATATATGGGCAACAAAAGCAGGGTCCCTTTGGGTTTTTCTCTAAGACAGTACTACCACAGCTTTGGAAATGACTGCGTGGTTTCAAAAATCCTGGATGTTTTCTGTGCAAAGGGTACTAGGAGAAAGGTGTGTATGACACTGGAGCCAACATGCTCTCCACTCCAAGTGAGTCCTTCTCCCTACCCAGCCATGCGTGCACCATGTTCATTCTCACCCATAGGCCTCAGTCCATGCAGTTCACAGCTAGAAGATGCTTCCTGCATATGCAGGGCATGAGCTTCCTCTATGAGGGCCAAAATATCAGTGCCTATACCCAGCTCATCTAGAAAAAGCATCTCATTGCCTCTGTGCCTGAATACCCCATGGTGAACCTCACTCCAGGACAGAGATGCTTAGATTACATTCAGTGTCCCCCACAGTATGCACTCATTTCCACAAACCCTGAACCCTTTCAAAGAGGCATAGTTTCAACTTTACTAGGTTATTTACCAAAATGATGCATGTACAGTGGTTTCTCACTGTTTCAATTTGTTTCAACCTCATTTCTAGGTCAGTGGCCTTTGAAGTGTCCTTTTCTGTAGCATGCTTGTCCCTATGCTTTGATCATTTTCTGTTATTTTGTAGGAGTCAGTTACATGTGTTGGATCCTAATTCTTTATCAATTACAGGGGATTCAAAATCAGTAAACTGCATTTTGTTTGCTATTCCTGCATGTCACAGACCTTGAGTTTTGCTTTCTCATGGGAAACTTTTTTCCCCACCTGGAGCCTTGGTCTAAGAAAAGCCTCCATGCTGCCTTCCTGGACAGTGGGTGCCGTGACTTTTATTGTCCCTTGTTCATGAAGCGGCCGCCTTTTGGATAATCACAAAAAAGGTGTTCCTTCTGATTGTACAAATTATTACAAAACATCCCTTTCTCCAGGATCACACGGCTGGGCTCCAAGTGCACAGAACCACTTGACCTCCCCACACCCTCCCCCTAAATCAGGCACACTTGTGCAGAGAATGACTTGCATGAACATATGGACAGCCCTTTCAGGGTCCTGACTTTATGCAGGTGTTTTATTTCCTGCTCCCCAGTTGCCCTTGGCTCAAGGTCATGTCTTCTGTCACAGAGAGAATTGAAGCTCCATCTCCTCACTATTAGGACTTGTGTCTTACTCTGATAACGTCTCAGCTGCTCAACATCAACTCCTGACATTAGGGCCTCTTCATTTTAGGTTGTACTATGCCTTCACACATAATTTCATTACATCCTGTTGAACAGTTCTCTGGATGTAGAGAAGGAAGGGGGTCCTTAGGAACTAGGTTTTCTATGCTGCTAGATGGGAACAAGCTAGTGTTTCACATTTACACAATGAAGGTGATACTGCCTACCTGGATGTTGTGAGAAGAGAACATCTCTGCTGAGCCTGGCCCTAATCAGTGGTATATGCACTGTTTCCCCTCCATGCTGGCATTGTGTTTTTTCAACAGATGATGATGATTCCCATTCTATAGATAGAGAAGATTTACTTAGGGTCACAATTCTTCAGATTTTTCCTGCAGTCACTGCACCTTGCAAGGCTCAGTGAGACATTGGTAATAGTTGGAATACAGGAAGAGGATGTCCAGGGGCCCCTTACTTAACCAGCCCTAATTTTGGGAACACGTACCTCCAATGCAGCCCCTTCTCTCCACTGGAACATGTCACAGTCCTTTGCCTGGGTGTTCCCCTCCTAGAAGGCCCTCGCCTCTCCATGGTGGCTCTCTCAGGCCTAAGTAACACCCCCCCCCCAACCCTGCCAAGTAGGTCAGGAGCCTCAAGGGGACCCTAACCTGCAGAGACTTCAGTTGGTGGCCAGTCTGAGTGTGTCCCTGATATGATATTGGCTCCTGTAGGTGGTGGGAGTGATGGCATGGCTGGGGGCCCAGCCCCCACACAGTGTGGTCGACTATGAGGAGCAACGGACAGTGGACCCAGAGCAAGCCAGAGGGGTGCTCAAGTGTGACATGTCAGATGTGTCTCTCATCAGCTGCCTGGGCTACAGCCTCCTGCTCATGGTCACATGCACAGTATATGCCATCAAGGCCCGTGGTGTGCCTGAAACCTTCAATGAGGCCAAGCCCATTGGCTTTACCATGTACACCACCTGCATCATCTGGCTGGCTTTTGTGCCTATCTTCTTTGGCACTGCCCAGTCAGCCGAAAAGGTAAATTGGGGTCTCCTGTTGGTTTTGCTACCTCATTTCTTTCCTGCCTATCCACAGACAGAAGGGCTTAATTGTCCCAAGAGCTGTGCCACTCATACGAATTGATTGCTTGGTTAGTTGATTTATTAAGGTACTTAGATACTTGTTTGTCTTTCTAGTTGCCCTCTGCTTGTTCATTCAGCCATTCATTCATCCACACTTCCAACCATTGGTTAACTTTTCATTCAATTATTTCTTCTTATACTTTCTATTTCCTGATCCATTAATCTATTGATCCATTTGCTTGATCATTATTCACTCATCTATTCATGTGCAAAGAACATTTGTTTATTCATCCATGTATTTTCTCACTTGCTTCTTTATTTAATCTCAGTTTGTTCATTCATTTGTACATTTGAAAACATGTTCATTCATTAATTAATATTGTCTAGCACATTTTAGGCATATGGACCATTTCCCCAGTATCACTCTCTATGAATGAAATTGTCTTCCCTCAGTTACCAGTCCATTCAGTGCCATGTCACCCACCCTCCATCTTGTCTACACTAGAGCCACATCATAACTATCACTTCTTCATGCCACAGGACCTTTAATTATGTAGTTGTCCTTTTCTAAGTGCTCATCCCCAGGCTATGTGGAGGTGGGGGTGGGAGAGAACAGGACTGAGTCCCACCTGGTTCTTTCTCCATGCCTCAGATCTACATTCAAACGACCACACTGACTGTGTCCTTGAGCTTGAGTGCATCAGTGTCCCTTGGCATGCTCTATGTGCCCAAAACCTACGTCATCTTGTTCCACCCGGAGCAGAATGTGCAGAAGCGAAAGCGGAGCCTCAAAACAACCTCCACAGTGGCAGCCCCATCCAAGGGTGAGAACACAGAGGCCCCCAAGTAGTGAGAGGGGTGAATAGGATAGTTGTTCCCTCTCTCTTCTTTTTTTCCCCTTGCTTCACAGTGTGAGCTATGAGGAGTCCAGGCCTGCAGTGAATCAGAGGAGGAGTTCCATGGAGGCCATGCCTAGTAGGACCTATCTGGAGGCTGGCCTCCAAAAGAGCTGGACCCATAAGCCAGTTTTATCTGTGCTTTGCTGTGCATGTTGGCATCATATTTTCTCACTGCAGACTAGACTTTCTACTGACAGTGGGAAATGGCCATTCAGAGGTTTCTACTTCTAGAAAGGGAGTGAATAAACACATTCTCTGGTTTGAAGTTGAGAGGTTGCAATGACATTCTGGGCTTGGCCTAGTGTGAGTGAGATTTCCATTCCTTGATCAACCACCAGAACTTAGGTATTGAGCTGGGTGCGAGAATGTTTAGACCCCGGAGTGAAATATGGCACTGGAGATGGGAAGAAGCAGTTTCCACAAAAGCAGATCCGTGGGTCTGTATTCTAGACTGAGCAACTTGGTCTCAGAGGAATGGAGCTTGGGTGAGAGCCCTGTGAGAGAAGGTGAGCCTGCAGGGACAGGGGAGCCAGCAGAAGGGCCAGGTGCATCCCACAAAGTTACTTGTGTAAGGGCATATTTCTTGGAATCTTGTCCCCTGGGATCCGAGGAGTGCCACATTCAGAGTACAGCTTTTTTCTTTTCTCATCTGTACTCCTTTAAATGACCTCTAAAACATTAAGAAAAAATCAGATGCACTTGTGTGGCATAAGTGGTGTGAAAATAAGCTAACAAGGGTAGCATTTGCCCTCCTCTGATGCCTGAGAGAGATTGAATTCAGGAGTTCCAGGGTGGGACCAGTGACAGAAAGAGTTGTGTTCATGGTGAGGATTAATTACAAGTGGATAACATAGGCTGGATATAAAACTCTCTTTTTTGCCAATACTCACTAGGGAGTCCCCTTTGAAAGGCAAGCATAGGCATGGGGAGGAAGATGCTTGTGATACAGATGCGTGAGTGTTTACTTTTCAGTTTGTTTGTTACACAAAGCTTGATTTAAATGACAGAACTTTATTTCTTTAGGGTAGAATTTAAATTGAAAACTGACTCTATTACTGTGAATTCTCTAGTATCTAATGTGTGGCACTGATTTTGAAGATCAACCACACCTTATACAGCATAGAGACTATTTCCTATACAGAGTCTCCAGTACATGAAGGTTTTGACTAGGTGTTTCTGCATTCTTAAAATTAACAGGGCTTCTCCTCAAAGTAACATACCGATTCTCCTTCCTCACACACATTGCATTCCCAGGGTTTGTTTCTCTGCAGTGCTAATTATGAAGTTTTATACATTGCTGAATGCTTTCCAAAATTCATTATTTCATAGGGCTTCTTTCTTGTGTGGGTTTTCTGATGTATAATGAACTGTAGGGGCTCTTTTTGCTGAAGGTTTTTCCATATTAGTGCTTTCATGGATTTTTTTCTCCTAATATGAACTTGTAGAGAGTCAATGAGCTCTGCTCTCCCAATGAAGGTCTTCCTGCATTTACTGTTTTCGTGGTGTTGCTCCCAGTGTGAATTCTCTGATATGCTATGAGTCTTGGCTTCTAGTTGAAAACTTCCACATTTGTTCATTTTTTGTGTGGTTTTCCCCATTCTGAACTCTATGACTCAGAGTTCGAATGATTTCTTAGTAAGAGCTTTTCCATATTTGGAAGACTTCTTTCTATAAGATCTATGATGTAAGGTTTCTGACTGTTTACTACACTCATGTGTTCCCTTTCTGAATTCTCAAATGTATTCAAAGGTTTGCTTATGTCTGCATAAGTTCTCTGCCTTTGATCATTTATTTGATGCCCAGTGAGCTTCACAACTTCCTGAAGGTTTTACCCTATTTAAATACATACTTTTGCATTGTCTGGTGTCCAATCAATCAATTTGAACTAAATAAAGTTTTTTCAAACTTATGGAATTTATAAGGCATTCTTCCTGCATGGTTTCTTTTATGTTGAATGAAAGCTAAGCTATACTTGTAGGCTTTCTCACATTCATTACCTCAAATGATTTCTCCCCAGTATGAATTATATGTTCCAGTGGAAACAGGTTCTGGATTGGAGACTTTTCCACACTACAAACACAGTATTTATCTTCAGTATGTGTTCTTTAAAAGAGAGTAAAATATCATTTTGACATAAAATTTTACTTACCTATTTGTAAGGTTATTACCTGTGTACAGTGTTTTGTGACTTGTATAGGAGGGCCTTTTTTATAATAATTATATTCTTATGCCTTTTCATAGTGTGAATTTTTGACATATTTATTACATTTATTACAGATTTGTCACATTTATTACATTCTGTATTCTTTAGAAATTGTCCTTACATTCATTACACTTATTGTCTCTCACTTTATTCAATGATTCTTGTTAAAGAAATGTAACTTTCCCCAAAAGCTTTCTGTTGCTTTTTTAAAATATAGTTTTCAGACTGACAAACCTCAGAGGAGGGGAGCCAGAGGGAGGGAAGAGATAAACCAAAGAACTTGTATGCATAACCAATGGACATAGACAACAATGTTGGGGGGCAGGGATTGGGAGGAGGGTGTCAATGGAGAAAAAAGAAGAAACATCTGTAACAAAAATTAGTTAATTAATAAAAAAATAAAATAAAATATAGTTTTCAATTTTCAAGACTCCTAAAATGGAATAAATGCATAATTCCAAATGAATCTTTTCACCACCATTTTATAGAATGAAACCTCATCAGGAATATTCTGTTATAATGATGTCTTTGTTTCTAAATGTAAATATTTTCCATCTCTTGGGCTTTGAGACAGAGCAGAGTACTGACAGTGTACTGACAAATGGATCTTTCAACCTGTGGCACAAAAGGTAGGAACCAAGATGGGATAAAGCTCTGAAAGGGAAGAGACTGACTGAGTGGACTGGTTGGAAAAGGCAGACAAGGGTGTAGAGAGGCAGATTTGTCAAGGGACTAGATTTGAACATTGTAAGCTTCATTGCTTCATTCATGGATTCCTATGGTCTTTATGCTTCTGTATCTTTCCCCTCTGGCCCTGGCTGGTTTGGCTCAGCGGTTAGAGCATTGGCCTGTGGTCCGGAGAGACCCGGGTTCGGTTCCCGCTAAGGGCACGTACTTCGGTTGCAGTTTGTCCCCGGCCCTGGTTGGTCGTGCGGGTGGCAGCCACTCGATGTGTCCCTTTCACGTCGATGTTTCTCTCTCTCTCTCCCTCCCTCTCTATCTGTACAAAAAATGGAAAAATGCCCTCGGGTGAGGATAAAAAAAAAAAAAAAAAAAAAAAAAGCCCTGGCTGTATCTTTCCCCTCTGATCCTATACACCAATATCAAAATAATCAGTGCAGGGCACCAGCTCCCCACATTTAGAGAAATGTTGCTAGGGACCCTGTCCTGTCCCAGCACCTGCATCTGACTGTGACTTATTCTCATACTTACCTCAGATTCAGAAATAAGTAGCTAGAAGTGTATATTAGTCTAGACTAGAATATCATGCCCCATGTGCTGTTCCCTGATAAAATCTGGCAGATTAAGTATCATTAAGTTATTCTACCAGAGCTCTTGAATATTGAACTGACCCATAGTATCAATTTCTGAGTTCTTTTTCCCATTCTGATTTGCCAGATAGGGAAATTTTCCAGGATCCACAGACTCTGTCTTGCCCTACCACTATATATATAGTTTTACTCAGTTTTTACATCTTGAAATTGTACAATGTTGAGGTTAAGACTTCTTGAGACCAGTCAAATTCCAGCTCTGCCACTTGCTAGATGGGTGACCTTGGGCAAGATAATTAGCCTCTCATATGGTTACTGACAGCCAGAGTCTCCTAAATGGTCTCCGCAGAGATGCCCAAATCATTGATGCCATTTACCTACCACTGACCTTCCCAGTCCTACCAATCAATCACTGCCACACAGATCCCATTCATTAAACTAAGCCTTCAGTTGACCAATCCCAAGACCCCATCTCAGACCCATTTGCCCCCCTATTTACTGACCCACATGGACTCCTCATTCACTGTTGTTCCAACAAGTGTCATCGGAAGTTCCTCTGTGTGCTGAGTACCTGGGATACATCATTCTACACAACAGACAAGGATTATTTTTTTTTATGGGACTTACACCCCAGTGGGGCTTAAATCCTAGTGGTGGATACTAGCAATAAACAATATATAACACAAATAAATACATTACATAGTATGTCAGAAGAGGACAAGTGCTGAGGGAAAAAAATATTCAGGCAGAGTAAGGAGAAAGGGGAAGATCAGAGGCAATGGACTGCAATTTAAAATAGAACAGTTCAGTGTAGGTATCACTGACAAAGTGGCATTTAGAGGAGGCAGGGAGTGAGCTGTGGGGTTATCTGAGGGAAGAGGGTCCAGCAGATGGAACAGCCAGTGTAGAGGCCCTAGAACAGGGTCATGCCTGGTATATCTGAGGATCCACTAATAAGGCTGGTGTGGTTAGAGTGGGGTGAGGAAAAGAAACAATGTATGAAGGGGAGGCGAGGTGTATCAGTTAGGCTTCTCCACAGAAACAGAACCTATAGGACATAATGGTTTCTCTGGAGAATCCCAATCATAGATAAATGGAGATATAGATCTTTGTCTATACATAGAAAGAAATCTATATCAATATATCTCCTATTGGATATTTTATATATCTATCTACAGATATAGATAGATGATAGATAGATAGATAGACAGATAGATGATAAATAGATAGATAGATATAAAGATACAAGAGAAAAAATATATATAGTATGTGTGTATATATAAATATATTACAAAGGCAGACAAAAGATGATAGATAATCTACATAATATCAATCTGTCCTATACCTAATAGGGGAGATGACATACATTTGGTATTAAGATATAGATATATTTAAGAGATATATTTTAAGAAATTGGCTCCCATGATTGTAAGGGCTAGCTAGTCTGAAATCTGTGGGGCAAGTGGCAGGCTCAAAGCTCAGGTAAGAGTTGATGTAGTTTTGAGGCAGAATTACTTTTCTTCTGGGAGACCTGGAATTTTGCTCCTGAGGCCTTGGATGAGGCCCACCTGTTGTGGCGTGAGAGAACTGAGAGACCACCAGAGCCAAATTAAAGCCAAATAAAGAGCAAAGCCGGCCGGCGACTGATCCCGAATTCTCGAAGATCAGCCCCAACTTTCAGCTATTTTTTATTTTATAGGGGGCTTGTTACAAACTTCTGCAACTGGCATGTCTTCTTGGCCTTGAGGGAGAACAAGCAAGTACAGAAGCAGAGGCAGTTAGCAATAAGTGGGAGGGAACAGAGGTGGGAGGGAGTTGAGGCGGAAAGGAACTGGGTGAACTGGGTCAGCATACATCTATCCTGCTATTCATTCTATTTTCTAAGTTCTAAACAAATTTGCTTAGAAGACAAGTTCATTTAGAGGAGTGCCAGGCCAGCTGGTACTTCCTCAGTTTGCCTCTGAAAGCTCCATAGTTGGCCTTTTGTATTATTTAATCAGGATGAGATTATATGAGCAGGCCAGCACATTCCCCACTGGTTTTCAGGGGAATCAAATCATTGTTTCCTCATCTGAGTTTTGAATTCTTTGGTAATGGATGTTTAGGACCATAAGTTTAACTGTTTGGATTCCTTCTCTGATACATTTAGTTAAACAGTTAATAATTATGGGGCCAAAAAGTAGCCCTAAGAGCAATAATAGAAGAGGTTCTACTATTGCTAATAAGAGGGTCGTTAACCATGGAGACCAATTATATAGACCCTCAAACTAGTTGCTTCCTGATTTTCTTAATTCTTCTCTATCTTTAATTCTCTAACTAGAGTCAAATTGTCTCTTATTATTCCAGAGTGGTTAGCATAGAAACAGCAGGCCTCACCCAGAGCCATATATAGACCTTGTTTTAAGAAGAGAAGATCAGGTCCCCATTTATTCCGTAATACTACTTCAGCCAGGGAATTTAGGGACTTTTCTAAATAGGTGATAGAGTTTTCTAAATCTGAGAGGTCTCGATCTATCTGTTTACTAAGTGTCTTAAAATTCTGGTCTCCTGCAACTAGTGCAGCCATACCAATGGCTGCAGAGCCTGCTATTCCTAAACTTGCTAAGAGTGGAACTAATATGGGTATTGCCCGTTTTTCCCTTCCAGCTGAGATTCCAAAATGTTTGCACCTGCCTTCACCAGAGTAAAAGTAGACCTGTGGGATTACATAAGTTAGAATACATAGTCCAAAATCATCATTATGTGAGTTAATATAGGGCATTAGTCCGGTAGTGCAGGCAAACCAAGTCTCTCCTGGAATTACAAGTAATCTGGGGCCTTCATCTTCTTGGAGGTCCTTTGGCATAGAAATCAAAATATAAATTTGGGGTTACATAGGATGTGTTAGTGGCAATAATGTGTCTGTCATGGGTTCAACTAAGGCTCCATTGATATTGAGTCGGCTGATGGTGATTTCCCAGTCAGAGAAGCAGAGGTCCCAAGTAGCAGGATCAGGAACAGAGTGACTTTATTTCCAAAGAGTTATCTGTCCATTGAAGGGACCATTTTTCTGGTATATGGTCAGGGTGAGCCTTCCTTACCTGGGAGTGATGAATCCAAAAACGGCGACCTGCTACCTTAAGGGCCATCAGAGTGGTAAGGATTACAGGCAGAGGACCAATCCATCTAGGTTCCGGCGAAGCAGGCTAAATTTCTTTGATCCAGATCCAATTTCTGGGCTGAACATTGTGAGGATCTGAGTCACCTGGAAGAGAAGGCTTAGGAATAGAATCTCTTATTATTTGATGTTTCCTCCATTGGACAAGTTGCAGAACCTGTAAGGACTGAAGAAAATAATGGTTATTTAGTTCAGTTAGGGTTTCTTCTCCAAATTTGGGGAGAAGCAGTGGTGGTCTGCCGTATATTATTTCATAGGGAGAGAGACCCTTAATATAGGGAGTACATTGGACCTGCAATAGGGCAAAAGGAAGGAGGCTGACCTAATTTTTGCTTATCTCTAATTTTAACTTAGTAATAGTCTCTTTTAATGTTCAACTCATCCTTTCTATCTGTCCTGAACTCTGAAGCTTGTATGCACAGTGCAATTTCCAAGTAATTTCTAAAATTATAACTAAGGCTTGTGTGATCTGGGCAATGAATACCAGGCCATTGTCAT